GGGGCCGGGGTACGAACACCAGGTGAGTCGTGCTGCATAATTTCAGAATGAAGATGGTCTGTGTTTCCGGAAGTCGTGACATACAGATCTCAATAACTCTCAGCTATAGCTTGCTATGATTTGCATAAGACCGCCACAGCGGCTGCCAAGCAGCTTCTTTAACTTGTAAAGATGTAGAAGATCGGTCTAGAGCAATATCTTTCATCAAGATAATCAAGAGATGCCCCTCCCGTGTAGGAAGCAGAGCCATCATCAAAGCCAGCTGCAGCAAAGCTCACGAGAGGGGCCAAAGTCTTCCTGCCAGCTCCAATGAAGAATCTGTCACCAGTGAGCAGTGAAAAGTGTGTGGGTCCTGGTCAAATTGCAATGACAGCACCAGCTCATGCAAAACCATAGAAATTATGTGGCCATGGAGCCTCAAAGTAACGGGGCTTTCCCTCAGGCAGCGCAAGCACCTCAGTGTCCACGATCATGTGGCTTCTTTCCGTACAGGCTTCTACAATGCCTCCAGGAACTTGCTCTCACACGAGTAAGCAACTGAGAGCGCAGCCATGCCAACCTGACAGGATTCAACAAAACTTCTCCAATTGCACGCAATTCTGCCTGGCCGGAATAGTTTGCGACCCTCCCCTCCCGGAGTAGTTTGGGCGCATGTAGCATCAGCAGCGGCTTGCAGACGAGAGGCAGACCCGCAGTAGTAAGCGGAACATGCGGTCCACACCTACCAAAGTTGGCCGTTGCAAGAAGTGCGCTTTCAATGAGGCTAAGCTAAGGGGACTATTTATTCCTCATATTTTGCCAGGTTACCTTGGTGTGGAAAAACGTGTCCTGCACTTGAGCTTCACGTGTCTATTTGCAAGTTGGGGCTGCTGTTCGGAGTATGCATGGGCATCAGCTTTGACATGTTGGATGCCCACATTTTGGAAAACGTCGCATACTCACACTCATCATGTTTTGTCATTCGCTATTCAGCCCCGGCCTGTCTATCTTCGTCCACTTCGACAGCCGCCTCCACCTCGTCCTCGAACGCATTGCAAACTTGCCCGCATGCGATGCTAAGACCCGAGTGCGCAATCAAGCAATCTTGCTTATCAAGTCCAACAGATTGAGGAAAAGTTGAGCTTGCGGTTATAGCTCACTAATTGCAGGGAAGCTCTGAAGACAAACGCCTCGGTGCAAAAGACATGGATGACAATCATACAGTCAAAAATGACGTGGATGGTTCCCAGAACAATACTTTGCGTAGGTGAGTCCCGGTTTGCGCGCGTAATCCACGTAAACAAACTTGAACAGAACGAGAGCAAAGACTCGTCTTCAACAACGTTTCTTAAGTGTAGGTGCAGTACTCAAACCCAATTCCATGAACGTTTTGTGAGCGCCTCGGGGGAAGCCCGTCAAAGTCCGGTAGCAGACAGCCATTTCCTTGTAAAGGAGGATAAGCATACATGCAACTTGCAAGTCCTCATGCCGCATCTCGGTGGTCTCTTCACCCCCCTGGCTGTCCTCGAATTCATCCTGCACCACGGAATGCCATGCACTTCAGGCAAATTGCCATGTCTTCCTTCTTCAGATAATGCTCTCTGTCACAACTCTTCGCGTCCAAAGTGGTCTCGGCCATCTCCAGGCTGAGGTCTACGGATGTTAACTCCTCTGGCACCTCGTCAGGGTTGTGTAAAGGACAGCATCAGGTTGGTAGTGACAATGGAAAGCATGACATGAGAATCATTCAGCTGCTCCCAGCGAGGCTTGCATTTAGTCATATGGTAGTACCACCAAAACGAAGAAGCGCAGCAGCCTTCCCCATTAAACCATTACCACGATAAGTGCTGGTGATCCGCCGTCCTCTTGAGCCGTCGCCAGATGAAGAGCTGCCAAAGCAACGACAGCTTGCCTGCAAGTCGTTCCCAAAAGTCAACCAGAAAATGGCTTTTGATTGGGGCCTACAGCCTCAAGCCGGAGAGCCACATCTTCCGGATCTAATCAAGAAACTACTCTTAAAGTCTGGGCTAGCTCTGATTTCGAAGCTGCAAGCGTGCTTTGCGAGGAGTTCAGAAAGTGTCCTGAGCATGTTGCCCGAGATTCTAGCAGCGCTGAAGCATTGGCCCTTCACTCAGGATTACCGCTCTCAAAACCAAAACGCAACCAGAAACTCTTACACTCCATTCTGTAGGCCTGGGTGGGATAGGACTGCGGATGGGCACAAAGGCCATGCAGAAGATTGCCCAGGCTTTCGCTTGTAGCCATGGCTGCATCAAGGGAAGCAAGTTGACACAGCAATCCTTATCGAAGGCTTGTCAAAGGCGATCATCATGCCAATTCTAGTTCGTGCTGGACCAACGTCATGGAAAGGCAAGGCTGCCTTAGGGAATGGTGCGAGGCTACTACACAAAACGGTAACTGTAAGGCCAGTTGGAGCAAGAATAGCAGTACAAATAGTGTCTGAAGCAGCAAGGAGTGGTAGCAGCAGTCGAGGCTGTGTGGGAAGTAAAAATAGCCGTAAGGGTATCGGCAACACTAAAAAGCATAATCGTAGTACAAATTGCAACAATAGGAATCGTAGCCAAACGAAAGATAATAATGCTTTGATAGCCATTATGTGAATATGGTAAGAGTACTCTCCGTGGAAGCGTTATCATTGCTAGTAGGAAGACTAACAATACCACCAATATTCGAAATGCAACAATAGCAGTCTAAAATTCAAAAGTGTAATGAAACTAACAAAGGCAGTATGATAATTCGAGCAAGAGTGGCAAGAACCATTGCCAGCATGTCTCTTGGCTCAAATGAGCTTGTCAGCTGGGATGTAACAAATGCTGTGGCTCGTCAGCAGCAATATCATGGGTTCCAATACCACCCCTCTATACTATACCCCCTTCGGTTCCACCTTAATTAACCTTATTTTGGCCTGGCCTAGCTATCCCTTCTTCATTCTGATTAAAAGGATTTTAGGAGGGGGAGTATGGGGGGGGGACCGACTCCAGCACAACACCTGTACTTGCCGAGGCAGAGTTCAAAAGCTTTTTGTGGGGTTGAACTCAGGACCTGACTTTCCTGGGTGCAGAATATCACTACAGGATAAAGGACTACTAGTTCCTTGTGTAGATTGACTGCACAGGGATGTTCAACAGTCCTGAGAGCCAGACCAGGCTTTGAAATGCCATCCTTCTGCGCTCGTTGTGGCTGTACCTTAACCACAAAGGAGTGTACCACAGCATGGGATTTCCCCCGGCAAAGGATGCTAAGCCGCATGATTCTGAATGTTTGCATGCGTGCACGCTGCAGCCTGAAGAAAACAGGTCCCGGACTCCAGGACAGGCTTCAGCAAAGCAGCATCCTACGAATGAATCCACTCGTTGTGCAAACACCAAGCAGGACCCTGCCGCGCATCGGTCCTGGGTCAGTGAAGCCTCGCCTTAGGCAGCACGTAAAAGCAGTTGCTGAGCTTGGAAAGTCTGACAATCCTTCTTGGCAGACAGGAAGATCAGCTCGTGTGCTTCTGTGTTTCTTGCGACCCTAGTCTGAACTGCAACAACATGCCGTCACAAGCAAGGAATGTGTGCTGAGAAGACGCCCTCACAACTACCGAATACTGAGGCTTGCTCACAGCTCTTCCATGATCCAAGCTGCCACGACCTGAATCAACAATCCAGTGACACAGGAGCATGTTAATTAGTTGGGTATGAACGTGTACGTTTGAAATTCGAAGTTTAAACACCCGAGAGCATGGCGATTGCCAACTTGAGGGCACACTGCTCACTTCGTGTAACACCTCGGCAGCCCAGCGAGCCATGCTCTTCTACAGATATGGAGGATATCTCAAAATGGGAGCAGCACGATTTTCAAAATGTTTGCTCTCGGTATGAGAACAACAATGACAATGACAGAAGCGAAAATAAGAAGAGCAGCCAAGTCGTGCGAAATGCAGAAAGAAGTGCTGCTTGCATGACGAAGAAGTGGCATTTTTCAGTTCAGAATTTCTGGTGATGTGTCTCACGGGTGCCAGTCCAGCCGGGAGCCAGCAAGAACAGCAACTACAGCAGCATCGATGGCAAGCAGTAGCATGGTGATGAGAGGGCCACTGCCGTCAAAATGCCATACACAGGGTGTCAGACACTTCTCTGAGCGCAGTGCCAGAAGCATCTGTAGCCTGTTCGGTGGGTTTCACCTGCAAGCAAGGAAGGCCCCAGCTGTCTCACGCAATAGCGAGGCCAAATCTGGACAGTGATCAAGTTCTTTTAGACTTGTGGGTCCTTCTTTTGTTTGTGAGTGGGTGTTCTGGAGTACATGTAATTCGTCTTTTGTAGCAATGAAGGTCTTTTTCAACAAGAACAACAAGAAAGGGCAGGCACCGATGGGTGCTGGTGAAGCAGATTTTGACGCGCTCTGCCTGTTTGACAAATCTCGCCTTCCAAGCATTGTTGGGGGTGGCCCTGTCGGAGTTATGATCGAGAAGGGTAGCGTCACAGGGGCCTCCCAGATTGAACCCGCCAAAAAAAACATAAGCTTCGAAAGCTCCAGAGAAACGACATGGCGTTGTTATACTCCAGTGCTCTCATCCCATCTTTTTGGGCGTCCCGTTCTTGGGAGCTCCCTGCAACAAGCCCACATAAAGGTCCATGACAGTTTAGCCCACATTGTGGGTGGCTATTCTATTCATAACCCTTTTTCTGCAAGAATGGATAGAGATCTCGGGTGGCTGCAAAATGGCCGATGTCAAATGCGGCTCAGCCAAATGCCGTTTGCCCAGGCTTGAGTGCTGGGCATCTTCCACTAGCAGAAATAATAGTATTGATAACAATGCTGCTACCTCTAGAAGTTCCATACCATGATGATACCTGTAGGGTACTGAGGGCGATCACATGATTGTCAATCCTGGAAACTCATATTCGGCACAGTTACTAGACCTATAACTATAGAATCCTGAGCTATCAACGAAACTCACATGATATTGCACCATTATGGACAAATAAATGCATTGGTCATAGGTGCCGTACATCACGTCAGGCACCCTTCATCTTGGGTGGAAATACGAACCTTGGTTGGTCTTGGAACCGGGCAGGCGACATGTCTCCATGAGGATTCAACGCCAGAAGAAGACTTGAATAGTGGTTTCTCCAAGTGCGCCGTAGAAACTCTTGCAAGACGCAGCCGGAAGCGGTTCCAACCAGAAGCATGATGACGCCAATTGCCACGGCTCCATTGCCGCCTCTGCTTCGGAGTAGCTCCAGACATAGAACTGTCTGGCTCCAGCACACTGGGCTCTTCCTGAGGCACAGAATGGTGTACTGTACAGGGATCCAGCAAAGGATTTTCTAGCTGTCTTCTTCCGAGCATGAGGGTCTCTGAAACTTTGAGGTTGCTTGTTCTGTCTCGAAGCCATTGCATTGGCAGAATGTACAGTGACCCGAAATTTGACACTCCTCTTGCGCGTGGACACGATCATGCCCAGACCGCAGAGGATGAACCAGCAGCCAGCCCTCAGGGTAAGCTCAGATCCACCTGCGCTTGGTCTGTGAATGTAGCTACCGACACTTTGATTATCCGGGCGCTTTGTGATTGAGATTGCTGCTGCAACTACTTGTGCTGCTACCATTAACCTAGAATGCTGAGCACCGCCACAGCAAAAACTGCTGTGACAAAGACTCCTATTCCCACTGTCATTTAAAACTTGTGCTACTGCCACAAGTTCTTCAGGTGAGATCCACCTTTGCCGAGTGCGTTCGCAATTGCAGCCCATCGCGGCCTCAGTTGTCCATTCTGGAGCTCATTAACGAAGCCTGGGAAGATAAACCTGAATCCCGACTTCAACCTCCTGGGATGCAGAACATTATGGGGCTCAACTGAGAGTGTGTCTTTTGATCTCACATCTGGACAACGCACCTGTTCCACATGCTGGCGTACATATTAGATGTGGCAGCCTGGCAAGAAATTGTATCGAAAGACTAGGCTCCTAGTGGCAAGCTACGATGGGCGAGCTTGTAGCAATGATTCCAGAACTTTGCATTGTGCTTCAAGGAACACATTAGATGCTATTATGTGATCCTGATGCATTTTCGTCTCCTGAAAGGGATGTATTGGCCAAAAAACAGAACCAGCCCTTGCGTAAATTGCTATGCAGTTCCGATAAACCTAATGTACCCCTCATATATAATTCGAGTGGCAGCAGGAGGGCACCGCCTATGAACTCCAGCACACCCACGATCTGTGATAGGTCATGGCGGAGGAAACCAGCGGCCTTCAATGCCCCAACACCGGTCCTCATTCATTGATTCACATGGTCACGTTGGTGTTGAAGTCTCCCTGAAGTAGCCGACACTGATACAATGTCACAACAACCCTGAACATAAATAGACACATTAGAGAGGCCCTGGCTTTGCGGTTTGCAAGCACAATCATGATTGGATTTGATTAGAAGTCCTTACCCAACACGTGGCTTGCGTCTGGATCTTGGAAAATGCAACATCGCATCGGCGGCAACTTCTTGTTCTTACACAGGCTCGTCACAGGGGCTCAGTGGCTCAATGCCATCTGACCTTACCACCGATAACACAGACATTCAGCCTACTAACAACTTTGTAAAGATCATGATGGCCAATTTTTTGATATCCTCCCCATGAAGTGCTGGAAATCACTAGACCGGAGAATCCGATAAAATTAGACTGCCCAGGGTCATGAAGACGACCAGCCACCAGTGTAAGTAGGCTTGCCTGTTTCAAACGTGATGTTGGAAGCTAAATGTCTTCAGCAGACAAGGCATCAGGTGTCAGACTGCCTTAGATGCATGCTACTCGCCATGACAATAACAATAGCAAACTCGCTTGCAGCCTTGCCTTTTTTCCCAGTTTGGAGGCCATGGCGGCGGCGATGGGAAGGGCAAGTCCGAAATTGACATTGCCGCTGGATGAGAGTCAAGTTCGCGTATACAGCCAGACAGCTGCAGGCCATGAATCTGCAGTAGTAGCAATAGTAGCAGCAGCAGAAGTAGTGGTAGCAGTAGTAGTAATAGCAGTAGTAGTAATAGCAATAATAGGAAGAAGAAGTGCCAGAGCCAAAGCAGACCATTAGTAGTGACAGCAAGTTCGATTGAAAGGAGCGGTGACAGTAGGAGGAGGAGTGTCCCTTATATTAATTTATTGAGCTCCTATTATGTTTTCTCATGACTTGTTCCAGACTGGATTCAAGCGCGCGCGGTGCAGTTCTGCCTGCGGCTCTTCCAGAATCAGCACAAAGGTCTTGAGTGCATGTGCTTGGAGATTTAGCACAGCTCACGGGCCTTCAGAACAGCCATTGCGCAGCGCAGTCTGGGTACCTCTGCACGAGAACTGTCAAACCCAGTGCCTTAACAGCGCACCCTTATATTCCAACTTACCCGGGATAGGAACCGGCCCATAAGCGTCAAACAATTGCCACACAAATCTATAGCGCTGCTGCGATGAGCGCTTCGGGCCTCCGGTTTGGTTTTTGGAAAAATGCTCGTTTCTGAACCTGTGAGGCCTTCCTGGTATCTATGCTGGCCATGGATACTTCGACAATAATGTTAGCCGTGTATCCCAGCACACAGAACCACGAAAACCACATTTAGTTGGACATCATCTCCATCATCCCTTACTGTTGATGCTTCGTTATAACTCACAAGGAGCCTGTAATATTTGCTGCCTCTGAGGCCATCTGCTGGCAGGCTCACTAGCAGCTCTTCGCGTTGCGCGGCGCGCCCGCGCAAACAAGCCTCTGCAGAAAAACAGCGGCTGTTGGGAAAGCCTCTAGGGCCACATGATAGCTCAAATACCTAGTTTTTGGCTTGGAGGTTCCCGAAATCTGATGTAAACAGATACTGAGATTTGGAGACATAGTGACCTGAAAAGGGCACCCGTCCTGTTGTGGGACTGATGCTTCTTGCGCCTAGGCAACCTATACGGCTTCCACAGTTTCACGAGTGTTTCCTTGAGAAAGAAAGCAAGAAGAGCTTCCAAAAAAGATCGGCCCTGGACTTAATTAAGATGGATTCCACGACAGAATCACCCAAATTCAGCAACGTGCAAAACAAGCATCTGGCCTCTAACACTTGCTCCGAGCACTCGTTGCTGAGGTGTGGCCTGCAAGGGAACACACAGGTACCCCTAACATGGAGCTCCTCAGTGCTTGCTTTCCTGCAGGCCGAAATTCCTACAATCCTAGACCCTCTGAACCCTCGTTAAATTCAAAGTCCCTCTTCAACACGCAGCTCGAATGTCAAACCCTGTCCCCATATGCCTCAACCTGAACCCCAGTCTCTCTAAACCCCAAAAGCCCAAACAAAGCTCGCAGTGGTGGCTTGGCTCCCAGCGTCTCTGGCCAGTTCGCACAGGCGCCAACTGCTGCCTGCTTGTTGCTCAACTCCCAGACATGGGAGGCTCCGCCAGGGGGGGGGCCTTCGCTCTTGGAAGCTATCACATGGGTGTTGTACCATTGCTCATTCGCCATGTGAAAGAAAAACCTAAATCCAAACGGTTTTGCTGTGTAGTGACCTCAGCCTTGCATGTGCAGATGTTGACTCCAAGTAGCTCGACTCAGTTAGCATCTGCGCAGTACAGCCCGCACTGCCTCCGACCATCTGCAGATCACATCAGCCAGGGCCTCAGCTTTGAAGGCCATGCACGCTCATTTTGCATGTTCCGTGTCGGGGATTGGCGGAGTCGTGTTTTGGGTACATCCCAGAACCAAGATTGCTGGAGACATTAACCTTCGTCGGAAATCCCATGCTCTTAAACCTGCAACTAATGCTATCTGCGCCGATCTGAACATGCTCCTCAAAATCTCGCAGTCCCCTGTTCTTGGCACTTTCGGCCTCAGTTTAGTTGAGCTCAAGCATGTCATTTTGAGAAACTTTCCCTTGAATACCTGAAGCGGTAAAGTACACCAGTCCTGGAAACATTGCATACAACATGAAGGGGTTAACCGTGCCATGACAGTTTCGCACACCAAAAGCGGAAAGTACCTGAAGCCTTTAAGAATCCCAAAGCCTCACCAGAGTGTCGGGCGGCCAGCAGTGGTGGCTTAAGCCGTGGGAAGTGCCTGGTCGCGCGGAAGGGAATGGCATTTGGGCCTCGGGAGTATGGGTCGGGGCACTGAACTTGCAAAAGGTGTGCGTGGGCACCCATGTCGGAACACTGAAGCACCCAACTACGTACGCCGTGTACAATCACCCAGACAAAGCATCAAACCCCCCCTGCTGGTTCTCTCCATTTTGACCTAACATCTCTTTCTTGGGCATCTTTGTGGTTCTATTTGCCAAGGTGCGGCAGCGCTAAGGCTGCCAATCTCTGCGGGCTGAGACCAGAAGTCTTCACAGATAGCCTTAGGCGATGGGTGGGTGTGAGATGTGAGTTTGGACCTTGTTGAAGCCCACGACTCCTTCTTCATCACGTGAATCCAAATTCCTGCCACACTGCACGCGCAGCTACCAGCTACTCCTGTCCCCTAGAAACTGCTTTGTATTTCTTCTGCTGTAGGGCTGAGCGTCTAGGTGCTGAAGCCTGAACTTTTGGGATTGCGGGTGTCGCGCGTGTAGGCCCTCGTTGCCACAACATACAAATGCCTTCCAGACGCTCTAAACCCGGATCCGAATCGTACTGATTCTCTACTATCTGCATACAAACCCTGTACAGTGGGTTTCTCGAACTAGATGCCCCTGGATTACCAGCGGAGTCTGGGGTTCCTTATCAAGGATTGTAAGGGGGGCAGAGGAATTTCAGAGGGACCCTCCTTGAGCTTCGGACCGTGCCAGAGGCGGCGCCTGCTCACGACTGCCTGACCATCGAACGATCTACAAGGATCCTTGTTCCAACTGTAAGCACCTCCCACCCTCAGGGGTGAAATATGCCCGCCACACTATGGGGGAAACTTGATACCAGTAAGAACCAATAGTAGTAGGCAATGATGACCCGCCCAAATCAAAACCACGATAATTTCTGCTGCACACGTACAGATCAGTTCTCAAGATGTGTCCTGATACCATGGTTAGGATCGCTGCCAGGGTTCTCACTTCAAAGTATAAGGCTTCTGGTGTTTGGATGCTGCTTTACCGGCAGGGAAGTGATCAAACGCCTCCCTCTGAGGCTCAGCCTTTCATCCCGGCAAGGAATGGCACCAGAAGAGGAAGAACGGTGGCCAAAGTCCTTTCCTTAGCTGTGTCATCTGGATGGACCTTTCCGAGATCAAGCTCAACTCTAGCGGGACACAGACCCAACACCCTGAGCTGGGGCAAGCAAAGCGTGCGCAACTTGGACAACTTGGCTTCCGACGTGTATTCCTCAGGGTAAGAAAGCTTTAGGTTTGGGTCTTTCGGCTTGAAGGACGTCGAGAATGAGTTGGCCCGTATCTTGCAAGATGCCCGTTCTGCATTGGCTTAAATCGTGCGATGCTTTGCCACAGTTGATTTTACATGTTCCAAGGTTGGGCACAATCTCTCTTTGCGCTGCGGACTTCAAATCAGCAACCCTCCTTGCTCATTAGCAATGCAAGGGCGCATGATCTAAACTCAAGCTCCTTAAGCGCTAGAGATATGTGCTCTTCACGTGAGCCCCAGCTTCCTCAAAGGGTCCCTCAAAACTCCAACCTGTATTCCCCTTTTGAAGCCTGAATGTATGGAAACCTGTAGTACTCCTGAATCGTGAAGATGCCAAGAAGTTTCCTCGCTTAGCTCAGTGAACCCTGCATCGATGAGTATACTTTACTTCTACTTGCCAAGCTACAGTTCTTATCCTTGTCGTGCTGGCTACTCCCAACGTTACCTTTACTGACTATCAGTACATCTGCTGCGGCTGCTGCTGTAGTATTGAATGGACTCTGATGATGCCCCTTGCGCCCTGCAGCCTCCTGGTTTGGCCGCGAGCTTGGCCAGCTCGATAATGGCGACCTTAGAGGGAAGGGATAGGAGTTGAAGGTGCATGCTGCTTGAGTCAAGCAAGCATCGCCAAGAAGTAGCCAGGTTTCGAGGTTCGACTGCACTTCTCCAGACTTGCAGCCCCCTTAGAACCGCCGTCCATGGAACTGCTGTCTTACGCGTCGTAGGAAGGCAAACATGGTTACAGTTTTTCAACACCGCCTTCTACTTGATGGAGCAAGTCTAGACAGCTCATGCGCTGACGCAAGCTGACTCCTACTTTGGGACCTGTTGCCGAGGGTTGGACCAAAAGGAAAGTCGTAAGTGAAGGGTCTGCGGCACCAATGTACCTGGTCAGCCAAGCTAGACACAAAGCGTCCCTTCTCGAAAGGTCAGACAAA